TTTTTTATTTTATGCACGTCTCTAAAAAATACGTTTATTTCGAAAACGGTGTACTATTTTGATTTGAAACAAGAATACCTTTTTTGTGTAGAATTGAATGTTATTTCATGTTTTTTTCCTAGAATGTTTATACAGGCGAAGAAATTATGGACCATAATGAACCAATGTTATAGTAGGTGGCGCCACCTAGTGTCATCGGTAAAACTAATATCATTTTCAGATTAAGCATACTAATAAGAAATATAAATTAGCAACTAAAAGCAAGATACCAAATTTTACTTAAATCGGTTGAATAGTTTTCAATATATCCCTAAAAATAATATAAAAAAATATTAATGAATCACCCTGTAGAACGAAAACTAGCAACATTTTGCCTAAGCAATTTGAGCTCAAACGCTTTATTTTGATGTCAGCTATCACCCATTAGCTAGTGTCCAATTAATTATGGGACACCCTGAAGAGATGGTTGTTTCGTCACTATACCTTACTATTGACTCTAAAGAACAACTTCCATGGACTAACTTGGAGAAACTTCTAAAATATACCAAAAATACGTGCAGAGAGCTTATTCTTGGATACGAGTTGCATTTTAATTACCTTTGCATTAATGAACTTGATTGATGACTGGAGGTAATAAGCCAACCTTCAGGATACCACTGATACTCCACAATCAAGCAACCACCTGGTATCAGTTTAGAGAAATATTAAAAAATGAAGTAAACCTCAACATATCTTTAAGAACATACGGAGAATTGGAAAACCCAATACAAAAATTTACAGAATTTTTACAGAATGCCTGCCTCATAAAGGCAGGCGTTCCTCAAGGAAGCGTTCTTGGGCCGATCCTTTACCTGCTATTTACCTCCGATTTGTCTACTGACAATAAAGTAGATACAGCCACATTTTCGGACGATACCGTCAATAAAGGCGGTACATTCACATTCCATTGTTGCAGCAGAACAACCCTAAGAAAACAAAGTTCAGAAATGGACTAAGAAGTGAAAGATATAACTCAATGAATCTAAATCAATCCGAATAGTATTCACTAAATGCCATAGCAATTCACATCAGATATTACTCAACAATGCCCCCTTCCAACGGTACATACTGTATAGTACTTAAGCTTACATATAGACATCTAGACTTATATGGAAAAAAAGAAAATATCTTGATAACACATATAGAAAATATTATTGGTTACTCGGAAGAAACATCCAATTGTCGTTGAGAAACAAAATACTAGCTTGCAATGCCATACTGAAGCCATTTGGACGTATGGAATAGAAATGTGCACTGCTTCCAAATCCAACCTAGCAATTATGGACGGATTTCAAAACAAGGTGTTAAGAGCAATAACTGATGCACCATGGTTTGTAAGCAACAAAGACAAACTACAAGACCTACAAGAGCCAACTGTGAGTGTGAAGTGATAGTGTCACATAGTGATAAATATTTTCAACGATTAGAGAATCCACCCAAATATGTAAGCAATAAATTTATTGGACAATAGACAATAAACGAGGCGCCTGAAGCAAAAATTACCGTTAGATTTAGTTTTCTTGAGTTAAAAATCGATACTTAGTTAGAATATTCATGTAGAGTAAATATTTATTAAAATATTTCTCTTCGTGCTAATGACGTAAAGTCAACAAATACGTTTATGGTTTCTTTTTGATTGATTGTACAGTAAACAAAAAAAAACCCGTTGATATTTTTTTAGTTGCAAATTTTTCATTCTCTATGCACTTTGGAAACGCATTTTTCTTATGCTCAAAATGCAATTTTCATTTAACCAGCATGAATTTTGTTCACAAACTTTCCTGACACTTTCCCGAATAGACTTCAAAAAGTTGCACATAGATTCATCTAGCTGTGAAAATTTGTAGGTTTAGTGCTTCGTTTCTTCGCCTATTATTAAACATGACACACATAATTCCACAAACACAGAATACACAAATGAAAAGTCACGTTCAGAGAATCATCGAACAATCGCATCACTATCACCCAATTTGATCCACGTCCAGAGAACAAAAGATTAATTGATCTAATATTCGTCGCATACTAAATACAGTGTCTCTACATGATGTTCCATATCATAAGCTTTCTTGTTCTTCTGTTATTATTGTGAATTTGACTATTTTGTTAGTTATAAGTTTTATGGTCAATTGTTTGCTGTAATTGGCATTTTTCTATTGATGACAATGAAATCTATTGTCGATTTGTGTTGTCTACTAATTTCAAATGTATATCTCGTATGGGTTTATGGTTGAAGACTGTCTTGTTAATTTTTAGAATATTTATCGAACGTAAATATTGCGTAATAACTCGATTATCACTTTTTCAGTATGAAACTATTTTGAACACAACACTCTAACGCTGGTCAATTTTTATTTTCAATTGCACATCTCATGCGTTAGTTATGAATCAAAAACTGGATTGTAGAAAAGAATTTTTCTCTTTTCAAGGAATATTTTCTAACAATCTTATGATCATAACATCATCAATAAACTCATCTATAGAAAACGTCGTAGGAACCTGCAGGAGGCTGCGTTCCCCGGGATCCTACCACTAAACCCAATTATGTTTCACTTCCTTATCATCATGAGAGTCTTTCTGGAGATATAAGAAATCTAATCAAACGATCGGTTGAAAATATTCATGTTTCTTTTAAAGTACCTAATAACTTGGGTCAGTATATATCCAATTCCAAAGACCCCATCAATTATATGAACCGTAGTGGTGTTTATAGATTAAAATGTTCTGATTGTGATGCCACCTACATAGAAAGAACATGTAGATCATTGTCTTCACGCTCTTTAGAGCACATAAAAAGAGAAAATACTTCCGCTTTCTCTCAACATCTTAAAGAACACAACCACACTCTCAATATCCCAGAAGATGTCTCACTTATTCATAATATCCCACAAAAAACTTTCTCAAACTCAACCTATATGAAGACCTAGAAATCATTAAAGAAAAACAGAAAAGCCCAAATTGTGTCAATCGCCATGTCTCATTCAATCGAGATTTTCTTCCGCTCCACTGTCAACTATTTTCATAACCCACTTTCCAACTTTACTTCTTCAATAGTATTTAAATTTTCGTCCTCCTCTTATCGCCCACTAATCGTCCTTAGCCCTCTCTAACTTTGTTCAATATATCCAACTCCCCTTCTCTCATCACTTCTGTCTAGGCACCCAACATTCTCCATGCTCCTTTTCAACAAAATAAATTCAGAGCAGATTATTCCACTCCCTCTCCAAAAAACAATTTTTCATTAACATACACCTTCACCTACTCAACCACATATCTTCACCTTTTCTTACTGCATTTTTCTTTTCTATTATAACTCCTTTTACCCATCCACTCTCCCTCAGGGTTTGGTTTTCGGGTCTCTGGGGTCTTCAGCCTCTTGTAGTTTTTCCACCTTTCTCTTCACAATAACAATTAAACATCACACATCTTTAGTAAATTTGACAGATCCAACTTAAACATAACTACTCTTACAGTTTCACATATTCTCACAATACACCCCAAAAGCCTATTAAACTCACATACCTACCTAAACTCAAATTTATAACTCATCCTTTTTTATTTTATATTTCTCAGGCACCAAATGTTCCTTTTAACATATAGGGCCTTTTGTTTTTTCTTGAGTTTTAATTTGAGCAATGTATTAACAATACCATACCAAACCACCTTTCAGCCATCAGTTTTCTGTTGTTCTGGCATACGTGTCCACACACAAAAACAATCTACCATCTTTAATTTTCACACATAACCAGCAATTCATGTTCATGTACTTATAACTTGAAAAATCTTTTATTTTTACCAGGTGCCAAATGTTGTTTTTTGACATAGAGGGCCCTCCTTGCTTAAGTTTTAAGTTAAGTACTACATGAACATCACACCACAATCACATTCTTGTCATATTTAAATTTCAGCTCAACAACAGATCTAAACACACTTTTTACTACAACATTCCTCATTAATAAATCTTATAGGACCCATCTTCCTACATGTGCCTTTTTTTACCATTTTCTAGGTACCAAATGTTACACAACATACAGGGCCTTTTGATAAAATTTTTTAGCTTAGAACAAATAAATCCATACACATGTATAGTTGGTTGCCTATTGATCCTACAAAATTTCATAAACTCCAGTTTACCCACATTAATTTTTAAAAACCAATTTTTTCAATGTTTCCAATATAGCCATATGATTAATTCACATTACAGACTACAACATTGATGGTTGATACTGTTACATTATTATAATTTTAATTTTTTCAATTTTAAATCAACTACCGTAAGTTACACTGACTGCTCTGACACAACATCCGTTCTAACATGTCAACAATGTCATTTTGATCAGTTGTTATCAACAGGTCCTCGAAGACACTTCGTCTCAGGACCATTTTACCTATGTAGGGTCATACGTCGCCATGTTACCAATTCCAACGGTAACTTAAACATCATAATTTGTAACCACATATAATGTAAAGCAACTGTAAATTTATATCATTTAAAGGGTTTTGACCCATACATTTTTGGTGGCTCATAGCATGTATACCTCGTAAGTATTAACCACAATGTTCTTTAACCTTAGTCAACATTTTAAATTCAACGTTCTTTTTAATTAAAGTGGTTATTTACTTTCAGGTTTACACTGATGATGGATTTAACAATCCGAAAACGTTTTGTAATATATTTGTGATAGCCCGTTTGGGCATTTTATTATATACCTTTTATAAAGGATTTGAAATAAATTTTTTCTAACAATATCTTATGTTCTTATAATATATTTATTATCTGAAGAAGAATATAGAAAGACTTCAGTGAGCACTTCAATTAATTTTGTTCAAATTAATTAATGAAATGAAAGAAAAAAACATAATTTACTCACTTTTTACACAATTTAAGTAAGGGATCTTTTTTTATTATTGTAAACCTGAAAATCTCATCTAAATGTAAATTAAGATAATAATTTAATAGTTACCTTATCTTCTTGATACATCTTTGGTTCGCAATCTATTTCGATATGAGATTCCGGCGAGTCCATATTCTTACTATCAGTCAGTACCTCTTCATTAGAAGTTTCTTCAATTTTTGCCAAAGATATTTGGGCTAATCTAGTATGAGCCTCATGTAGTTGTTGTTTGAGGTTCGATATTTCATTCTTTAAGGGCTCTACTACCTCAGAATATGGCGACAATTCGTTGTTTTCGTGGTTAGACAATTTGGGCTCTGGTAATGCTTGGGGACTTTCAGGAAACTGAAATAATATTAAATATCAATCCTAAGAATATCAAAAATGTATTAGAATATATTAGGTATGTTCACTTTGCGAGGACACTATTCTCGGACATTCACGAACGCACTGAAAATGCCCAATAAAGAAATGTTTGCTTACATCTGCGGATGATCTAGTACACAATAGAAACTGTTTCGGGATATTCGAGAATAGTTTCCTCGCAATAAACCAACATAACTGTAACAAAATTCGAAACAACAAAAAATCTATTTTGAAAAATTAATTTTAAGAGGAACAAAGTAACTAAAGACTTATTGACTTTCAGAAAATGTAACAGGCTGAACAAAATAAGAAAATATTGAAATTTTAATACTAGTGGTTAATTTTTTAACTTTTAGCATGAAAAGTACAATGTAAAACTGATTTGTCTTATCTTCCACTTAGCGTCGTTTAAGTCCATTTCTCTAATATATCTAGCACTCATTATTACAAGTCTTTCTACACAAAAATTTGTCGAATTTGTCAGATATCTAGAAGGTTTTCTTGTAGTTTTAATGTAGAGCAGTTATACTCGCATCCATTTTTCTCTCTCCATTTATCGACCTCTTTTGTATCGTGTGATTTGATATTTTAGAATTATATTTTGTACCAAGCAATGTTGTATATTTTTTCTGAAGACAAAAGATAAGAATAAGGTATTTTCTTCTAATTTCTTACAGCCTGTATAGTTAACCCGTAACAGCTTACTACACTATAGCCACATTATTACAGGAGATACTTCGGCCGATTTGTTAATGTTCAATTTTTCACATGCGAAAAGCAATATTAAATTTTTCGGTGTATCAAATCATAAAGTACCACCCTAAATTTCAAATCATTACCTAAGCCAGCCCTTAGTATGATATTTAATACCTATTTTAACCTCTACTCAAGTACAGACCTTTGTGGATAATGCAAACGAAAAAACTCTCTTTACTGTTGACTCCCGTGTAGACAAGACGCTTTTTTCGCACCACCACCCTTCGCTGTTATTAGTTTGGCAGACAACAGACGTACTTTTTGCCTCTCTTAGTGATAACGACCAGTTAGCAGAAATAGTACCATGTATACAGTGAAAAAAATACCTCTCCTAATTATTTTGAACCACACCTATTGATACAGTCCTAAAAATCTGAACTTACTTTAATAATTTCGCTTACATACATGCCTTAATTGTACAGTTATCACACCTGAATAAATTAGTAAAACCGAAAAATAATTCTTGTTCATCAAGCATAATATATTAATACATTTGTTAATTTGTTCTCCCTATCGAATCACTTTAATTGTAAGCGACAGAAAGAACGCATTACTAATACGACTACACATCATGACCGAAGTACCGAGAACACTGATATTTTGTTAACTACGAGTATTACATTACACAAATCTTTCACCAATTGTTGTAATCTTCAGCGATCATCTCTATATTGTATAGTTGTAGCCAGTTTCTTTCCTGTTTTTCTCTTTAAATTATCTCTCTATCTGGTATGTAGTAGTCCTGTTTCCTCATGTTAGCCCTTAGTCTCCATACACGTGTAATTTTTTTCCTTGCAAGTGACAGCCTGATCCATATTTTAGTTTTGCTATCTCTCTCTCTCTCGGATATAAGCAATTTCGAAGGCGGGAAACCTATTAATAAGGCCGGCTCCACACATGGGATCCAACGTTGGAGCCAAGTTGGGTCAACTGTGTTCCCACTTCGGTGAGGCGTCCACACACTGGGTCGAGGAATCAGCGGCAACACACGTATTAGCGCGAATCCCTTTGATGTGTACGCAAAAACCGACACTCCACGGAAAACTCCCAACGTTGGAGAAAGTCATAAAAACGTTGGCGCCAACATTGGCTCCAACACAGTTTTGTCGGTACACACATTGGACGAACGCTGTTGGGGCCAACTTTGGCCCGTATGTGTGGAGCCGGCGTAACGCAACGGCCAACGGCATAAAGATGCACGAGAAAAAGGGGAACCACTGCATTAAAGATTCTGACATTAAACGACAAAATTACTGGTACTGGAAAGAAAGATACTGCGGACTATCTATGGGCCTTGCAGAGAAAAGATAACAGGAGAATGGAGAAGAAAACAGAATGATGAACTCCAGACTGTATATGGAGATGAAAACATAATAGGCTACATTAAGACTCACATAAAGTTGTAGAGCCAAATGATGGTGATGACATATAAAGAGTGTTTTTTTAGAGGTATAGGTATGAAATAGAATAAAACAAAGATGATTTTTATAAATTGACGTAAAATTGACTTTATTCGAAATATAATCTTTTGGCATTATAATTTAAATATGACTTCTGGCATATGGTCGTCATGGCTGGCTCTAACGTAGTTTAACCTAGAGGTACAATTTTCGATCACTTTTTCCAATATTTGTCGCCGTATATTGGCAATGGTGTTAACGATCTTGAAGACCAATTTAAGGTTTGAAACGTGAAAGTGTGCGGTTACCAAACGTTTTTTTCAATAAGTCCATTATGGAAGAGCTGTCTGACATGTTGCGTCGTTTTATTGAAACAGAAGCTCATGTACATCATGGTTGTTCAACTGGGGAATGAAAAAGGCAGTAATTATGGCTCTATAGCGGTCACAATAGACTTTAACGTTATGGCCAACATCGTTTTTGAAGAAGTACGGCCAACGGTAATCTTGTTTTGGACCCACTCTCCGAATCTACGCCTTGCTAGGTGATGATGTACCTTCAATTGTTGCATGAGTTTGATTTTTTAAGCAGGCAAAGCAAGATCTTTCCGCAAAATCTTCCGTAAAGTATATAGACACGTATCCAACTGCTGTACACGATGGCAGGCTGATTCGTCTTCCTGTATGCTACGCTCCATAGCAGTAATAAGTTCTTCTGTATGCACTGTACGACATGTCTGTAGATGCATATTATCAGTTAGAGTAAACTTGAAGAAAGAACTGAGCCAGGAGACGGAGAGGTGAATTTGTAGCAGAAGAAGAGTTGGTGATTAACACTTACTTTAAACTCCCATCTTCTTCTTCTTCAGAATACATTATGATTAATAGAAGATTCAAACATCGTAATATCAGTCAATACATACCCAGGACCCGTATCAAGTGAGACCATAACTCAATGATTGGCAAAATTAGGCTCAGTCTAAAGAAGATTCAACGTAGTGTTAAACCAAAATACGACATTGGGCTACTGAAAGACCAACACACAAAACTAAGTGTAAAACAGTATATGCAGAACAGCTTGAATACCGTTATTCAAAAGGATGTAACGGACAATGAGCTTAAATAGTTGCATATAATTTCACAAAACATAGAGGAGAAATTCCTCAAACCACCAAAAATAAAGAAAAAATCGTGGATAACAAATATGATTTTGAATATGATTGTGAAGAGGCAAAAATTCAAAGATCAGGACAAGACATTATACAAAATGATAGACAAAGATATCAATAAAGCAATCAAAATAGCTAAGGATATACGGCTAAGAGAACAATGTGCAGAAATACAGCTATTGCAACATAAACACGATTCATTCAATATGCACAAAATGTTGAAAAAGCTGCAGACTTATAGAAGCCAAGAACAGTTGGGTGTTTGGTAGACAACCAAGGCAAACCATTATTAAATGTAGAAGAGAGGCTACACTTGAAGAAATATGTGAATATGAAAAAATAAGTAATTTTTGCAGAAAACCATTAAAAACACGGAATGCCAAACAGGCCCCTCGATTACCATTAAAAAAGTCAAGTCATCTATTAAAAACTAAAGATGGTAAAGCTGTAGGATCTGAAAAGTTTTGTGAAGAATTCCTGAAACTTATGAATGAACAGGGAATAAAATGGATAACAACTATATTTAACTAGAAGTAGGTATAACTGAACTCACGTCCCATATACAACTAACTACTTTGAAATTTGAATCGTTAGGGTTTTCTCTAACCCCTCAAAAATCTAGTGTTACCATCTTTACAAGACATAATCTACCCAATATGGATAACATAAATGTAAATGGTACCTTATATCCAGTATCAAATAAGGTAACTTATCTTGGAATTATTCTTGACAAGAAGCTTAACTGGAAACCATTTATACAAAGTATAGAATCAAAATGTTTAAAAGGCATAAAATTTTTAAAATTCATAAGGAGAACATGGTGGGGAGCAGATCCACAATCGTGTTTAACTTTTTACAAAGCCTTTATTAGGTCGATCTTAGATTATGGATGTACGTTATATGGGTCAGCCAGTCCTTACATTCTAAAACGACTGGAAATAATTCAAAATATTTCCCTAAGACTCTGTTTGGGTGCAATGTGTTCAACGCCTGTGGAACCACTTCGGATTGAAGCTCTAGAACCACCATTATTTTTACGGAGGGAATGGCTAGCAGAAAAATTTATTATCAAGTCTTTTTGTAAAAACCGTACTCTGTTAGATAAAACAGCCTTATTAAATAACCACGATTTAACTAACACGTACTGGTCAAAAAATCCTTCCCCTCCATTATGTATGGCTTTTAGAAATACAAGTAGTTATAATAGTGATTTAAAAAGAACTATTTCAGTCGAAAAATCTGAATTCTTTGACATGTTGGAACCACTAGAAATTAATATTCCTGTATACAATGAAAATTGGTTGATAAGTAAAAATATATTAAGCACCTGCATATCAAATCTATCAGATTTTCTGGAAATATATACCGATGCATCAAAACAAAATAATGGTACGGGATGTGCATTCTATATACCATCAACAAACGTTCAAGAAAAATTCAAACTGAATAATAATACTTCCATTTTTTCTGCAGAAGCTATTGGTATTATTAAAGCCTGTGATTATGTCGAAAAAAACAAGTTAAAAAAAATAAATTTTTTGAGTGACTCATTATCTGTTCTTAAATGCATTGCTAACCCAATTAATGTGATGGCTACTGATACAAATCCTTTTATTAGAGAATTAAAAGTAAGAATTCATAATTTAAAAAAAAGT